AATGGCTCTGAGTTTTTTTTTCAAAAACAAACTTTTAGCTCATAGCTCTGACATGTCTTGACCAATTTGTGATCTAATCACAGTTTTGGACTTGGGAGGTCAAACCCTTTCAATTGATATATTTGACCATGTCCAAGGTTTCATAGATTAATTTACTCTAATCCTGCCTAAAAGAATTTGAGGGTAAGTTGGTCGAGATCCTGATGAGTAATAAAATGGAATTGGGTATACGAGCACCACACGATTGGTATTGCTGATACACAAGAATATAATTAATGAAATGGTGGAAAAAAGGTTTTGTAGATTAATTTACTGTAATCCTGCCTAAAAGAATTTCAAGTGCTCCAGCTATTGACGATTCCCTCTTGTTCTGACTGGGAGAATGTGACCAATGTAGTTCTTTAGGACTATGTTTTAGGATGTTTGTTGCATAATTTTTTGTTTGTGCTTTGAAAAGTTTTTTGTCCATTAGCCATTCAAAATGCTAGGAAGAGACAACCTGTTAAGAATGGTTTCAAAGGTTTTAGTGAATAGTCTAGAATATGAAGTTTTAATATTCAGGAATGTAAAGTTGTACACTTTAGTGTGGAAAATTTGGAATGTTCTTGTTTCTTGGGTGAGAAGAATGTCAGTATTATGAAAAGAGATCATAGGTATTATTGTTGATGAAACCCTAAAACCTTCCACTGAATGTTTAGGTGTGATGAATAACACATATAGAGGTTTTGGCCTCATTTTGATTATTTTGTGCAATTTTGGTTACATGACTACTGGAAGGATATTAATGTGTGAAGATGGACTTGTATGATGATGATGATGCCTGGTTTGAGTAATTTTGGTCCCCTGATTACTGAAAATATATTAATATATGCAAAAATGAATTTGTAGGATGATATCTGGTTTAAGTCATTTAATCTAATTCCACAAGTTATTAACTTTAACGAAAAAATAACTTTTATTGAGAAATAACTTGTATTACCGTTGTATTTGTATGTCAAACCACCATCATATCAAATTACTGTATTGGTTATTAAGGTGTACGTATTAATAAACAATAAAAATAGTTTTCATATTTATTTGCCAATTACACAAATAGGTGATCATTTTTATATAAAAATATCATCATGTCTACATTTTCTGGTTTCAATTGTCATTTTTTTCCTTATGATGTTTCCAGCTAAACTAAAAACCCTTTCAGATGTAACATTAGATGCAGGAATTGACAAGTATTTTTTAGCAATGACCAAAGTACTAGGATACAAATGTTCCTTGCTTTTCCACCAACCCAGTAGTTACATGTTGGCTGCTGGTTCAGACATGTATCTGTCTATCTCAGTTATTGTTTGTTCAATGTTTGACACACCTCAAACATGCAGATCACATCGTCCAGCCAATCTAAGGCTGCACTAGCTGGTGTTTATAGCCTCATTTTCTTGGATGGATTTAACTGTAAAAGTTCATCACCTAGACTCTGTTGTGTAATGTCACTTTCATTTGGCACACTGGTGCTACTGCTAGGGATAGAATCCTTGTGATCCTGTTCTTCAAATGGCAGTTCCTCTCAGTCCCCTGGAAGTGAAGACTCTTCACTTACAGTGCCAAGTAAATCTCCAGTTGCCTTCCACAATAAATCTCTTGCATGCTCATGTTTATCAGCTTCCACAAAATTCAGTTCTTTGGTTGAAGTATTTACCAGGGAACTGAGAAGACAAATATCATAGGCCATCTCCATTCTGTTGTCCAGTTGCATTTGTATAATAATTTTACTTTTGATAATGGCTGATGCATCACCTTCTTTTACCTCCACAGCTTTCTTTAATTTGACAGTGACTGGAAGCACCATTGGAAGCATTGGAACTTTATGTTTTCCTTCCGGGAGGAGTGTAGTGTGGATCAAGTGATTTCAACAGTTTTATGAATGCATCACTTTTCACTAGACTACAATGGCGCAGTCTAGTCAGAGAAGTCAACCAAAACATCATCAATTTCTTGCTTAATGTCATCGGAGTCATCTGTTGAAACTGTTATTTTTTACTGAGACA